GAGGAGAGATGCCAAGCTGAAGGAGGAGTTGTGTCGGATGCAGCAGAGCCATGAGGAGGAGCGTCAGGCAGCGGGGGCGGCGATGCACCGGATGGAGGCCGAGATGAGGTCGCAGCAGCAGACACAGCTAGCCGGGCCGCCACGCCGCGCAGCCGCGTCGTCCACGAACCCGTTTGCCAGCATGGGCGCGCTGTCGAAGGAACCAGGGTCATTTCCTGACCAGGGTGACGATGGCGATGACGTTTTTGGCGTTGGCACCGAGCAGCACCCCACGGCGACTGGTGATGCCGTGTCCGTGGATCGCCAGGCCGAACCGGAGGGCCTCGTGACAGAGCTTCGAGGGCGGCTAGCGGAGCTGGAGGCTGCTTTGTCAAGCGCCACACTGGCCCGGGATAGCGCTGTGGGAGAGGTGGAGCGTCTTGCACGGCAGTGCGCCGATGCGGAGGCGACCATGCACCGGATGGAGGCCGAGATGGCGGCAGAGAATGCCAAGCTGAAGGAGGAGTTGTGTCGGATGCAGCAGAGCCATGAGGAGGAGATTGAGGCTGCGCTGCTCGAGGCAAGCGACCGCATTGCGGAGCACGATGATCTGCTTCGGCATAAACTGGAGGAGCAGGAGGCGGAGCTTGAAGCGAGGTTTCTGGAGCAGCTGAATTCGTTCAAGGAGCCCGGTGGTGATTCCGATGCCTTGCATTCTCTGCTGAGTCTGAAGGAAGAGAATGCCAAGCTGAAGGAGGAGTTGTGTCGGATGCAGCAGAGCCATGAGGAGGAGCGTCAGGCAGCGGGGGCGGCGATGCACCGGATGGAGGCCGAGATGAGGTCGCAGCAGCAGACACAGCCAGCCGGGCCGCCACGCCGCGCAGCCGCGTCGTCCACGAACCCGTTTGCCAGCATGGGCGCGCCGTCGAAGGAACCAGGGTCATTTCCTGACCAGGGTGACGATGGCGATGACGTTTTTGGCGTTGGCACCGAGCAGCACCGCACGGCGACTGGTGATGCCGTGTCCGGGGATGGCCAGGCCGAACCGGAGGGCCTCGTGACAGAGCTTCGAGGGCGGCTAGCGGAGCTGGAGGCTGCCTTGTCAAGCGCCACACTGGCCCGGGATAGCGCTGTGGGAGAGGTGGAGCGTCTTGCACGGCAGTGTGCCGATGCGGAGGCGACCATGCACCGGATGGAGGCCGAGATGGCGGCAGAGAATGCCAAGCTGAAGGAGGAGTTGTGTCGGATGCAGCAGAGCCATGAGGAGGAGATTGAGGCTGCGCTGCTTGAGGCAAGCGACCGCATTGCGGAGCACGATGACCTGCTTCGGCATAAACTGGAGGAGCAGGAGGCGGAGCTTGAAGCGAGGTTTCTGGAGCAGCTGAATTCGTTCAAGGAGCCCGGTGGTGATTCCGATGCCTTGCATTCTCTGCTGAGTCTGAAGGAAGAGAATGCCAAGCTGAAGGAGGAGTTGTGTCGGATGCAGCAGAGCCATGAGGAGGAGCGTCAGGCAGCGGGGGCGGCGATGCACCGGATGGAGGCCGGGATGAGGTCGCAGCAGCAGACACAGCTAGCCGGGCCGCCACGCCGCGCAGCCGCGTCGTCCACGAACCCGTTTGCCAGTATGGGCGCGCCGTCGAAGGAACCAGGGTCATTTCCTGACCAGGGTGACGATGGCGATGACGTTTTTGGCGTTGGCACCGAGCAGCACCCCACGGCGACTGGTGATGCCGTGTCCGGGGATGGCCAGGCCGAACCGGAGGGCCTCGTGACAGAGCTTCGAGGGCGGCTAGCGGAGCTGGAGGCTGCCTTGTCAAGCGCCACACTGGCCCGGGATAGCGCTGTGGGAGAGGTGGAGCGTCTTGCACGGCAGTGTGCCGATGCGGAGGCGACCATGCACCGGATGGAGGCCGAGATGGCGGCAGAGAATGCCAAGGTGAAGGAGGAGTTGTGTCGGATGCAACAGAGCCATGAGGAGGAGATTGAGGCTGCGCTGCTTGAGGCAAGCGACCGCATTGCGGAGCACGATGATCTGCTTCGTCAAAAGCTTGAGGAGCAGGAGGAGTATTATGAGAAAATAATTGCAGACAAGACGCGGTTAGAGTCTCTTCCGGTGGATAATTCTGTGTTGGGTGATGCGTTTTTTTGGAAGGAGGAGCATGATAAATTGTATGAGCGATTTGAGCAGTTGCAAACCGAATTAAGATCTTATTTACGGGATACTACTGTGCATCAGGATGTAGAGGCGGTGGTCCGGCAGGGTACAGCTGCTGAGGAAGGTACGTGTGTTGATGGACCTTTGCAGGCTGCATTGAACGAAGTTGATTTGCTTAAAGGGCAAATTTCAGTGCTTCAAAGAACCAGGGAGCAGGAGGAGGAGAAAGTTGCTATGCAGGAGAGGGACTTGCAAGAGCTGCGGGAGCGATTGAGGGCAGAGGAGAAAAGCCGTTGTGAGTTTTCTCAAATGTATGAAGATGCAGCTGCCTTGTTACGTGATGGTGCTACGAGCGTGGAGATGCTTCTGCAGGAGAAGCGGGCACGCATTGAGGAGCTGGAGTCACAAACCGAGAAGATGTCGCAACAGGTGCTCTCAACAGAGGAACAGCTGCGGTTTGTTCGGGTGGAGTTGGAACAGCGGCAGCAAGAGGTGGATGAGGGAACAGAAAGATATTTCAGGCTGGAGGCGGTGCATCGTGAGATGGGCGCTGAGCTGCGTGAAGTCAAACGTCTGCTTGAGGAACGACAGCGGACGTTGTCGCAGCGGCTAGAACGTGTACAGAACGATATGGAGAAGCAGATGCATGACGCATCAGAGGAAATGCGTCGTGTATGCTGTGAGCATGAACAGCAAGAGAATGGACTGCGTCGCGAGATTGACCGTCTGCGGGCGGAGTTACAGGCGGCCCAAACACTTGCTGCCACAATGCCGTTCACGGCGCAGACGAATAACCATCAACTTGTGCACCTTCGTCAAAAATTGGATGAGGCCTTGAGTGAAAAAATGCAGGTTGTCGCAGAGCTTGAGGCAATGCAACAGTTACTGCGTAAGAAGGAGTCTTTGTCGCGTGGCCGGCAACAGGGCGCTGAAGATGGCAGTGAGGCGGGTGACAGCGGTCAGTCCCTCGATGCTCGAATCAACTCGCTGCTGCAGCGGAGCGAGTCACTGGGGGTGAGGGTGCAGCAATTAACAACAGAGAAGGAGACCTTGCTGCAGGAGAAGGATGCATTGGAGCTGGAGGTGCAAAGCGCCAGACGCATGGTGGAGGTGCGGGAACTCGCATGTCAGCGGCAAACGGATGAGGTGAAACAAAGTCGAACGCAAATTGCCGCCATGAAGGATGATTTGTCATTCAGGATTCAGTCGTGTAACGCGCTGCGACAGGAATTGAGTGAGGCACAGGAGCAAGCAGCGGAACTCGCTCGCGCCTACGAAGACCTTCAATTGGTTACCTTTGCAGAGCGGCGCAATTTATTGCTGAGGGAATATATGGAGGCCATTCTTCTTGCGAAGGCGATGACAGTACCGCGTGTCATGCAAGATGTGCTTCACGGTATCATGCAAGCGCATCGGCAGCTGTTGCGGCGATTCTCGGAGAACCAGCGGAACCTTCTTGCCAGATGCGACGCCATTGAGCAGACAGCCACAGAAGCGATGGTTGAGGGGGAACGGCAGAGTAATGAGCTGCTTTCGATCATCGAGGACGCAAAGGCGGAGCAGCAACAGCTGCAGGAGATTATCGAACGCCTCGAAATGGAACTTGCCGCGGCCAATCGCGTTGCTAGGGAGTCCACGGAGGAGGCAGCTGCGGTAAAAAAGATTTCAACGGAGGCGACAAAAGACGCACGCGAGGAGGCGTCAAAAGCCAAGAGCGACCTCCAGGCCTTGCAACTGGAGTACAACTCGGCAGTCAACACTATCAGCCTGTTGGAGACTGAAAAAGCCAACGCCGCCCGAATACTCGCACGGGCAAATTCGAGATTAGAGGAGCTGGCGGCGCAGCAGCAGGAGGAGGTGGCTCGGTTGCAGGAGTCATTACTCGAAAAGACGTGTTTGCTCCGCGATGCACAGGAGGCGGCTAAGAACAAGTTGGAGGCGGTGGAACAACAGGCGGAAGACTACAAGGCTCAGCGAGACGATGCTACAAAGCGGGCACAGGCTGCCCAGGCGTCGTTGGATCGTGTGTTGCCGCGACTCGAGCGGCTTGAGGCGGAGCAGGCGGCTCGCGAGGCAGAGTTGATGGACACAACGCAGCAGCTGACGGCGTTATCGCAGCGCAGCACATCAACGGAAGTAGTATCGCGTCGTCAAGTGGAAGCGCTCAATGCGTCCCTTGCCGAACTGCGGTCTGCCCATGCTGCTCTGAGCGAAGAGTGTACAAAGGCACATGAACATATTAATGAGCTAAAGAACCAACTGACGGCAAGCGAGGCTGAGATTGGGCGGTTACGCACTCGCAAAGCGCAGCAGGAGCAGGAGGCGGAGGCGGCAAAGGCACGGCTGACGGAGCTGGAATCCCTCTATGCGAACGACACGAGCGACGCTGCGACATGGCGACGTGGCGCAGAGCGACGCAGTGCGGCGTTAGAAATCCGCAACAGCGCTCTTCAGGAGGAGCTGCAGGCCTCTCAAAAACAACAATGTGTTTTGCAAGAACACGTTGATGTCTTGGAGGCAAAGCTACGGCAGATGTCGGATGAGAATCACAGCAAAGACCAACAGCAGCGGCGTTCTATTCAACAGTTGAAGGAGCGCTGTGAAATATTGGAGGGTGAGATTGGGAAGCTGGATGAAGCACACGCAAACCTTAGTGTGGAGCGGGACACGCTGCACCGTGACTGGTTAAACGCAAAGCAGGATGTGGGGAGCCTGGAAAACCACCTGGAGGCCACAAATCAGCACAATGAGCAGCTTCACAAGGAGCTTCGACGCCAGAAGGAATCCCATGATGCGGAGCTGCAGATGGTGCGGAGGACTCTTGCAGATGCTCAGGAGGAAATTTCCCGGTGTCGTTGCACACTTGTCGAGGCGGAAGCGCGGGAAAATGAGTTGAACCACGTGGTTTACGCGCTAAAAAAGGAGAAGGCCCGGTGTGTTGAAGAGCTTCAACAGATGCGGGGACTGGCAGAAAGTGAGCAGGAATTACTGGTTCGAGAGCGTTCACAAAGGCAGGTGCAAGTTGCAGAGCTACAGGAGGAGGTGGTGCAACTCCAGAAGGACCTTCACGCAGCGCGACAGGAGTGTAAAGGGCTGGAATGTAAATGCACGCAGCATGCGGATGAAGCAGAGCTTCTGCGCCGCCAGTTGACCGATAGGACAGATCGCTGCCGGACCCTTCAGCAGGATGCGGCGGCGCAGCATGAGCAGCTGACGGCGACTGTGAAGTCCCTTCGCGCCGAAGTGGCAACGCTGCAGTCAAAGCTTGAAGAAGCACTGGACACTTTGGCTCAGAAACAGCGTGAGTATGAGCAGTGCGAGGAGCGCAGCCTGCGAAAAATGGAGGTGAGTCGACTGTCGGAGGAAACTCTCCGGAAGGAAGTGGCGGATCTCCAGCGGGACGTGCAGCAGCTCCAGCAGAAGTTGGCTTTTACCGCAACCGCCGCTCACGATGCAGAGAAGACTGGAGCGCAACAGCAGGCGACGATACGTAAACTCACAGAGGAATTGGAGCGCCAAAATACTCAGTCGACAGCATACTTGAAGGAGAGGGAACAGCTGCAGAGTGCCTTGCGGGAGAATACGTCGCAATTGGAGCGTGTGGCACGGAAGGCGACTGCCGATCTGGAGACGGCTCTTGCGAAAACCAACGAGCTGCACCGCAGCAACATTGAGAAGCTGGAAACTGCGTTGCGGCGGGAGCAGCAGGCAGCGCAGGAGGTCCGCACAGCACGGGATCGCGCCCTGGAGTCACTTGAGGAGCGGCAAGGCGAGTGCGAGTTTCTGCGGGCGGAGGTGGCACGACTGCAGCAAATGTTGCGCTCCGCACAGGCACAAGTGGCATCCACCCAGGCAGAGGTCAGGAGTACCGTGACGCAGGTGGTGGTGGAGGCAGGCCTCCCACAGGAAGGCGAACTCTCACTGAGTAGCGTGGTGAATCAGTTGCTGCTGCGTCTCAATCGTCTTTCTCACACCGCTGTTTTACTAGACGTTGAGGTCTCGCAATTCAAATGCTTTGAAAAGGCTTGTGAGGCACATGCCGCGGCACTGCGATGTGTGATAGACGCGACGCGGTCCTCGCAGCAAGTTCCTGCCAGCAGCACCGCACCCACTTCTCCCCTTTTACCAATGTGTGAAAGCAGCAGTGGGAGCAGCACGCACTCTTTGCGGCAACGATCCTTTTCTTCGCGTTCTCGAGTCCTACAGGATATCATAAGCAGTGTCTCAACCTTTGCTCATCGCTTGATGGACCACTGTCACACAATTCGTGGCATGTTGGATAACATGGAGGCGGCAGTTGTGCAGTGCGACACGAAATTTGTTGGAGATCCAGCGGTTACTCACGTAAAGCTTGTCGTTATGGCGACATTAAGTGAACTGCAACTTCGCACATCACGGCAGACGGCGTTTCTTTCCCAGATATTTGATGGTGCTGTCATGTCAACGGCTCTTCAGGAGGCCATACGATTTCTGCGTGACGATGAGACATACGTGCTGCGTCCATTCAATGAACTTCTTATGCCTTCTTCATCATCTCCATTGTCCACGCCTCGGTGGGGCGGCGGTGTCCAGGAATCAACTTTCTTCACGACAGCCCGAGTCCCAGCCGCAGATACTGCTTCTATGAGTCAGCACTTGTGGAAGGGCTCGGCCAAGAAGGAGAATGAGCTTCGGTCACGAATTGTGGTAGACCCAAGACAACACATGGAGAGTGCTAAAATGCCCGGCGAAGAGCCACGAGGGCCTTCAATCCCTGCCACTTCAGGGGCAGAGGCTTCGATGGCGTCTGCAACGACGGCGGTGGATGCATCAACGGGTCCAGAGAGTAGTTCAGCCAACTGGTGTGTCAATCATGAAATGCAGGATGCAGCGTAATTTGTCGAACGTGGTCATTGAGTGAATGGCATGGTGCAATGGATCCAACTCCTTTTCTGCCTGTTGCTTCTGTCGTGTTACATCTTTCTGTTCAGTCGCGGTTGATGCATGGTTGATACTGTCTTTTGTTGCTGGCTTTGTTACAATTTTGGATGCATGGACTCCTCTGCGCTTGCATACCGGTGTTTCTTTGCATCTTGCTTTGTCTGCCTTTTCTTTTTCTCTCTGTTATTGCGGCTGCTGTAAGGGCCATGTGCTCACTTTTTGTCTGCCATTTTACTGCGACCCCTTTTCTTTATTGCTATTGAATGAAACCGAGGGGAAGGGGGCATCATAAAGAGAGAGAGATAGAGAGGAAAGGATGTGAATGAACGGTAAAAAATTGTCAACAACAAAATTCTTTACATATCTTTCTTACATATTCAAAAAATGTACCTCAGCCCTTTAAGACTTCTTCTTCTTTTGTGTGTGTGTGTGTGTGTGTGTGTGTTTTGTAAATCCCACGTTCTTCTTTGGCAAATGGTTGCTGCGAAAGGAAGTGGCATGCTTGTTCTTGTGGGTGTTGGCGTTTTCTTCTTTGTGATTCTTTTTTATTTTCATTTTCTTTTTCAGTGAGAATGACGTGAACAAGAGTGGGCGGGTTGTGGCATGTGAACATGTATCTATGGGTTTTCTGTGTAGTGTTTACGCATCTTTATTGTGTGTGTGTGTGTTTTTTCCCCCTTCCCATTCTATGAACTCCAATCCGATGAAGTTTCCGCTTTCCCTTTCTTTCTTTGACGAGCCGGCCTGACAGCACAGAAGACAGGGATCGTCGTGCCTCCCCTCCCCTCCTCCGTTACCAAAACAGAGCTGCGTGTACGATTGTTGTTTTTGTTATTTTTGTTTTTATTATTACTGTTGGCAATAGTAGTCATTGTAGTTGTAGCGGTGCTGGTGAAAGAGGATACATACTGATTGACAGACAGCTGGCATCGAAGAAATGAAGTCCTCTGACATCTTCCACGCGTACCGCTACACTCCTGTTTTTTTTAAGGCTCGTCAGCACGATAGTGGCGTGAATCAGTACGGCCTTAAGCCTGTGAACGCATATGATTTTATCAACCCAACGAATCTTGTAAACTTTGGCCGGGGGACGTCGTTTGACAACCTTGGCGTGCGGCGCGCGGGTCGTGGCGAGATTGACTCCTCGCCATCTCTCGGCGGCTCCCCTGTTTTCACGCAAGCGAAGCTTGTCGGCCTGAGCGGCGAGGAGCAGCTCACTATGTGCCAGTCAGAGACAATGGCGTTGAGAGTGTGCATGGCGAGGGGCGGGCAGGACACATGTGAGCGGGAAAGCCGTGCCCTTGACGCATGCCTCTCGCGTGTCGGACATTTGCGGCGGGCCATGAGTGAGGCGTGTGGCGAGTTTAACGACTGGTTCATCCAAAACGTCTCGGATAATCACACAAAACCATTCCAACATCGGCCACATGACTGGCGGCACTTCTACGCACAGGAGAAACTTGTGCGCGAGCGGCAGCAGAACGGCCACGCGTACGGCCGTCGGCCAAAACAGTTTTCATTTGGCGCACGGTACGTCAAGACGGAGGGTTACGGCAAAAGGCCACGCCTACCGTACAACAAGTGAGGACTTCTTCTCTTGCTGCTGAGGATGATAGTGATTCCTGATAGCAGCAAGACGAGCGATATGCACGACGACGAAAGGATGAACCCAAGTGCAACAACGAGAGAAACAAAAAGAGAAGAGGTTGGATTGGGACTCTTCTTCTTCTTTTTTTTTTTTTTTTTACAGCTGTTTGTTGGCTTTTTATTGTTGTTCTTTCTTTGTGGAAACATATGCACGCATGTGTGTGCGTGTGAGACGCGTGGTTGTATCTGTTTTGCAATGTGCTCTTCTTTTTTTTTTTTTCTTTTTTTTTCTTTTTCTTACCGTTTTGTTGCGTTTCCACAGTGCGGAGACTTCAAGGAGAAGGAATACTTCTTGCAGTGTGCGGTGGGCGGCACTCTTTATTATTATAAATCTTTTTTTTGTTGTTGTTTTTGTTGTTTCACAAATGGGAAACCCGAAGGACGCCAGTTTCCTTGTCCACACACTGTATGAGCAGTGTAAGGGTGATGCGACGTCACTCAATCGATTGTTGCGTCAACGTGTGTCGCCCCGAGGCAATCGCTTTGAGCGGGACACACCAGACACTTTTTTGTACATTGAACGCAGCAAGAACCGCAATATTGTTGCATACGCGGCAAGACTGTTGGATGCGGTGACGCAGAAGTCTGTGTCGTCAGGTGCTGGTCGCTCTTGCATCATGGATCACTCCAACCCTGTTCACGCCTACTTTATCGTTCTGGAGTCCGCTAAATTTAAAGAAAATCAGGAAAATGTCGTCATGAGTGAAATTAAAGAACTCAATTTTATTGAGCGGAGACTTGCGTATGGTTGCAGCGCCAAGCCGATTTGTAGGACGATGTCGGATTCCATGAAGGAGGGTATTGGGCCGTGGCTGAAACAATTTGACACCCATGCTTTGACGTACGTTGCGCTACCAGGGCATCCGCTGTTGTTGCTGCTGCTTCCGCCTCTTGGCGGCGGAACGGAGAATGGTGCGGAGGCGGAAGGTACCGGTCAGA